CTCTCTCTCTCTCTCTCTCTCAAACTAACTTTCTCATTATCACCATTAGTCATTCATCATCATCATCACCATTAATTACATCTTCGCTACGTCTTATCGTATTCTAGACATGACATCATCATCATTGTTAAGAAGACTATGACACCATCACCTCTTAGCGACGTTAGTCACCATGATTGCACCATCCATATCATCACTATACCAATATTATAATCACCATACTACAGCCTTTAACAATACATTTTCATCACAATACTATAATCCACGTCACCATCACCAACAAAAATCACCTTCACTATCACCTGACCACAACCATAATCACCATCCTACGGTCATCATCACCACCAATGCAACATGGCACTATCATCACTCACCATTATTACAAACTTATCACTACACCACTATCATCACACCATAAGCATCATCATTACATTGTCATATTCACCACAACACCATCACCATAAACACACCAATACATCACTATCATCACACAACACCATCACCATAAACACACCCATACATCACTATCATCACACAACAACCATCATCACCACTACACCACCATTATCATCTGCCTCACCATACTAACACAACCACCATAATCACATATCACTACACCATCACCACCATACGAAGCACCGTCCCTCTCTACACCATCGCTCCCCTCCCCCTCCCTCCTGATTCTCACCACTGTACACAAAACAAGTCATGGTGAATCCCTCAGGTCACATCAGAGTCTAATGGCATCTTTTTCTTGTTGTGTCGTCCCCGTAATCCTCCAACCTCCCTCTTCCCCACCCCCCGAGGCCCTGACTGGGAGACCGTACCTCAAGTTCCACACTAAATGTATACTCGCCTAATGTTCCAATTGTAAACTTAAGTTCCAAATTAATTGTATACTCATGTTAAGGTTGGCAGTAACTGTATATATATACCGGCACCTTACCTACACCTGTTACTAATTGTAGACTCAACTACACCTGTTACTAAGTGTAAACTCAACTACACCTGCCAGTAATTGCAAATCTACCTACACCTGTCAGTAATTATCTCAGGTAACCCTACCTCCCCTTGTCACATAGCTTCAGTTTACCAAACACTCCTCCTTACCAACTCTCGACACAACCACCACAAAGGAAACACCAATTCAACCCTTTGTTTTTGTACCTGTACAGTCACGCCTAATTAAAAAAAGGTGTTTACATAATATGGAATCTCTCTCTCTCTCTCTCATCCACTACAACAATCTTTCACTCACTATATAAACGTGATATAAATTATGTATATAACTAATCAACATTAATATAAACACACAGCTTCTACAATGATCGTATTTTAAGTCCCAAATCATTATATTAAGTGTCCGTAGTTTTGATCCTAAGTTATCATTTGTTGGTGCAGTATAAAGTTCATTTTGTATTCCCCGAGGTTCTTACGACACCCTGAGCGCCTCATATTTGGAATAACTTAACAATGTACAGTACAGTTGACGACTCTATTAGCCAGTTGTCTTTATACTTTTATTACTAACATTACCAGTATTATTACTAGTATTATCATTAGTATATAACTATATAGACTAATTACTAGTAACAGTATAGTCATTAGTAGTATACTCTAGTAATTACCTATATCATATTATTACTCTGATCATTATAATTATGTTCCTCATACCTGTATATCAACACAAGTTCCCAATAAGTTCTTATCCACTTGAACTTTCCATCCATTGAACTTTTAGCTTACCTGTACAGTTATCTAAGCTTCTTACTAAAACCTAAAACCACTCTAAGGATGATGGTTTAACCCCTTTTGGGATGATGGTTCAACATAGGAGGGTGGTTTAACTTTGAAGGATGGTGGTTCAACCTATCTAAGGAAGATGGTTTAACACTTTTAGAATGGCGGTTTAATGCTTTCAGGATTTAGGTTTAATTATCCAAGCAAGAAGGTTTAATACATTTAGGATGATGGTTTAATCATCTTGGAACGATAGTTTAAACTTTTATGGTTGATGGTTTAAAGGTTTCAAGATAATGGTTTAATCCCTTGAGAAAGATAGTTTAACCTTCTGAGGATGATGGTTTAAACTCCCCTTAAAAAATGGTTTATCGCAATAATGTCAAGGGTTTAAAATTATAGAAAATTATAGTTTAAATCCTTAAAGGGAATTAAAACCTCTGAGACTTTAGTGGTTTAAACTTCCTGAGAATTATGGTTTAACCGCTCGATAATGACACCTCGAAACACCATGTCCTCAAAGGGTTAAAATTACAGAAATATTCTTTTTAAAAAAATCCTCCATTGGCTCCACACCACTTACCCTCCACACCACTAGCTACACATCCAGAGCCTAACACCACACAAATTATTATGCGTGTTGCCCATTACTAAATCTCCCGAGTGTCATGACTTCAGCTTAATAATTTGAGTGAGAAATCCGATTTATTTCTCAGTAGTTCTCGTGAATAATGTCCAGGTATATTAATTCCTGTTAGAAGTAAAGAAAAAATATTAATTTAGCCAATGTAATATATATTTTTTATATATAATGTAATTTGTTAATAAATGATGAGATACCTGAGGCTATATACCTTGTTTCACCTTTTGGTTGTATTATATATTATTTTCACTATAGCTGCTATATTCTATTTCGTCATCAGGTAAAAACTATAAGGTAGATTTTATTTATATATATATTCTTTATTCTTTATATCTATTTGTTTTATTTCAACTTCACTCTTATATTTCGGTCACTTTACACATTATAATTTTTGAAAGGTAATATAGCTATTCATCTTTCTTTAAGCACTTTCGAATTTTACTTATTTTAGAAAGATAAAATATCAAAATATCATACTTCGCAAATCGACTAGGATATGTACCGGTATATCTTAATATATATACAGTATACACATTGGAATTTACATATATTATTTTATTCATTGTCAAACCTCATTCATTCATATTCATTTGTATTCACGATGAGACTTTAGTTCACATCTTCCTCTTATCAAACTAAATCACGTGAGTACAATTAGTGAGTGAATGAGTCGAGTAATTTTGTCTCATTTCTGTACATTTAGTGAATCTCAAGAAACGTTGTATTCGTCTCATTTTCAACAGCTCGGAAGGCTACAGTATCTTTCAGGGAGGGACTAACCAGCTAGGTGTGCTTGGCGCTGTGGAAACCCTCAAAACAAACTCGTGTTTAGGCCATCTGATAAACATCCCAAGGGCTATTTCCAGCTTGTGTAAACGGACCGAACACCTTCCCTATCTCCAGTTTACGCTACTCTCTAAACATCCTCCCCCACTTCCTCTTGAACTCTAAGGTGTGTTCAACTACCCACCACACACACATGTTAAATGTTCAATGATACTAAGTTTCTATTGGTTGTTTTAGTGTACAATAGGCGAGCGTTGATTGGTTAGTGGTGCAGTGCCTTGAGGATATAATAAAGGGGTCGGCAAGGTCAGGTGAGACCGTTCTTGTGGGGTTACTGAACATCTTTCATTAACACACACACGAATGCCTTGGCTGTACATTTATGGTACACCCAAGACATTCGTGTGAGACCCCAAACTACAGTAAATAACCTCCAATATTGCTTAGAATACCACTTAAATATCACGTGTTGTAACTTGATAAAAATCATAAATACGACCAAGAACCTAATGACTGATAACAAGTGAAATGTGAGACTATAAGATAAGTGACGTAACGCAAGTGATGTCCAGGTCAGGTTAGGCTGCTAAGTTACGGAACAACGTAGAATTACTCAACCTGATGTTACTTCTTGACCCGAATGAGTACCTTATTTCCATGGGACGTAAAGTTATCAGGATGAAGTTTTATCGGTGGTCATCACATGTTCAAGAAAGACATGTCCTTTATAGACGAGTGACCGTCTACGGTGGGGGTGGTCACTGTATCAACGTCTGAATTAAAGATGACGAAAGAAAAATATTTTAGAAGATTGGAGTGATGACGCAAACAACAACAGAGACTTTACTGTTTACGAGAGACAAAAGTTATATTGTTAACCAAACACCATCACAACTTTTACAACAAACACACAACCACTATTACAAAACAATACATAATAAAACAATTTAAAACACCGTATTATAAAACAATACAAAATAAAACATACCTTAAAACACTCGACCATTCTATCACAAACACTTAATACCAAAACAAAAACAAAATATTAAAAACACTTGCGGCGCGACGACCAATATAAACAGTGTATGTACAATCCACACTTTCATCAGTATTGACTAAGCCATATTCCCCCTCCCCTTCCCCCTTCCATTCAAAAACCGAACCATTATCTCCCGTCATAAACTACACAATGCCGGCATCAACTGTCACCAATTATATGCTATGTGGGCATCATCAACGCCCCGGGGTCTGATATATGCCCGCTGCACATCACTCGACATGTGGTGGCATGAGAGTGAATGCCTGCCAGACCCACACCCACCCTAGGGGGGGGGGAGTAGATGGGGGGAAGAGGGAAAAGAGAGGGGGGGTAAATGGGGGAAGGATGAATGACAAACAACGAACACAAATCACATATAATAGAAGCGGTAAGAGTAGAGGGGACAAGAGGAGGAGGGGAGGAGGGAGTGGAAAAATGCCCTGAAAGTAGGAGAGTAAATGCCTTAGGCTGTTTCCCTCCCTCCTTTACCCTCCTGGAGATGTCTGGGTGTTAGGGTGGGACCTGTCGGGCGCGTGTGAGTGTCTTCAGTGACGGTAAATTTATCGTCTTTGCATCACAGTAAAGAAACTGATAATAACCTCCAATAAATTATTACTTTATCTACAGGCATATATTTATACGATTACTATTACTTTAACTCGCATAAGAACGCATAAATGTTTACGAGTTAACATTCACATACAAGTGGTCAATCTGAAACGCCAGAAGGTTAAATGCAACTATTTAACTCGGAGCAAGAGTTAGAGGCAGGTTAAAGAGATGGTTACTTACCTAGGTTTCCAGGGCCGCCGCAAGTGAGGAGACACAATGTTCCCGTGAGTAGGATCTTCAGCACGTGCATGTTGCTTGAGTCCCCACACTGGTCCTTACACAGTCACACATAATACCCAGCAGCTCCACACAACACCGGCAGGGAGGAGAGGCACTTGTTGGCCCTCACAGTGCCAGCCGCCGCGACGTCATCCCTCACTAGCACTTCTCCGGTCCTCCCTTCGAAAAAAATAAACACTTTTGGTGGTGTTGCAGTTATAGAAACACTTTTTCTTAACTTGTTCACTGTATTAATTTGTGTGTTGTTGGTATTAGGAACACTTTGTTTCATTCATCAAGAGTAAAGAAATTAGCAAGAGAGACTAATAAGCACTTTCATATAAGTAATTAGTAAGCACTTTAGTAAGTAGCCCAGATGGATAATTTTCACTTTGTCCTCACAGTAAACACTCGACTAGGTAACACTCCACTAGCACTTTTCCCGCAAGTCTCAGTAACACTTAGTATCACAGACACTTGGCTTCAAACATTCCTCTCCTGAGCATTACTATATCCGGCACACGCTTGCGAAAAACACTTGAAGACGTGGCGGGTGTTGTTGCCTCTTGAGGTGGTGGTAGAGGTCGTCCTCGAGCTAAGATGCCCAAGGAGCCCAAGGGTACTGGAGATGGAGGCAGGGATGCTGCTGCTCCACGCCCACACTTCACATGGCCGCCCTCAGTGCTCCTCCGCCACCGAACTGAGTCAAGATGCCTCAAAATACCGCTTGTGTAATACCTGTACACTATTCCGGTACCGAGTGTTATTCTCAGTAGTGAAGTAGTTTCGGTATATGGTTCGATTTTTCGTTGGAAATTATATATCAGAATCCCGGCATTAGTTGTGTCTCTTACAAACACACAGACACACTACACTCGGGCGAGCATCGCAACAGAGGTCACCGCACTATATTCACTAGTTCTCATATACCTGATCTAAGGGAATTCGACTTTAGCATCATTCATAAATTCGTTTTCATAACTTTAAACTTTCTTCCAGCTCGCTAATAAACACCCTTAATCACCAAAGCATATTCCTCCACAGGTAAACGTCATGTGAAACCTCCAGCGCGGGTGTAGTGCGAGATGTTAGCAGCACCAGACGCTGAAGAGGTGCGTTGGGTGAGCGAGCCAAGAGAGCGACAATCTCTCCCCGTCGACGGTCAAGGGAACACTGGGGGCTGGCGGAGGAAGCGGCGGCCCGGACGAACATGGGAAGCAGCCCAGGGTGAGGTGTGTGCCGGGTGGCCACATAGCTTATTTGTGTTCTTATTTTTGCCCCAAACGTTTAGACCGATTCACTGTGATTGACCCACTAATAAATCACTCTAAATGACACATGTGATTGTGAGCAAGTTTATATAGGGATACGTGTCAGTGATTCATGAAAGAGAAATGGGTTACCTCCACTAGTAGGTATACGTGTGGTGGTGAGGGAAAAACAGGAGCAGTTACCAGATTCAAGACACTACAACCATTACATATTTTCAGCGTACTTCACATCTGCTGGAGTCCGTACAGTGAAGGTTAATAACGACGAGTCTTCATAACACGTAGAGGGTATTCAGTCATAGCATAAGTAAGGTAACAGGAAGAGGCAGTAGTGTGAGGCAGGTAACTGAGGTGTCTAGTCTTAGTGTAGGAGAGCGTATGACCTGCAGGGGGTGCTAGTGGGGGGTACAGGAGCCCAGCACAGGTGGGGGAGTCGTGTTTATACCCCGCACCAACCCCGCCCCCACCTACGCACCCCTGCCTCACTGTCTGTCTGTCTGTCTCGCTTCCACCACGTACCGCTTCTTTATTTATTTACTTTTATGTGAGGTGGAGAAGTTACTTGGATATAGTGTGTGTGTGTGTGTGTGTGTCAAAACTACAGTTATATGAGTAAATTACGCCTAACAACCATTAACACTGGAAGACGATCGTTCAACACTCACCAAATTATAGTTCAACTTTAAGCCAACGTCCTCAAAGGTGTAATAATATTTATCAAAGGTGTAATACTTATACCATGAAGTGGAGTAATATTTTGTTCGTGTTTATAATTTTTCCCGTCAACACTTATTAATGTGTGAGTGTAAGGAATATTTCTCTTATACAAACACTATTACCTAGAGTTAACTTACACACTACTTGATCTTAATGACTAAATTATACCAAGTGAATAAAAAAAATACAGTGAAGAACATAATAAATGACTTACGATGAGAATAATGAAAGGGAATAAACAAAAGAATAAGATAATCAATCCATTTAAATATGTCAATAAATTTCGAATACTATTAAGAGATTTGAACAAAGTCGTATGCCTCTCCGTAGTGTAATTTTGGAGATAATTAATATGCAAATATTAAAGCAAAACTAAAGACAAATGTAAATAAAAAGATAAATAAAGACGAGAGAATCATTACAAGTTATTAATAATACTGAACAATAATAATCTGACACCACAGGTAACCGGAATGTCGTGAGTTACCTGGGTTATATACTCGGACAGGTGACCAGAGTGACGGTGGTGGTCTCTCGTGCACAGAATGACTTATTTCAGGGGTAATCAACTGCCCCCCCCCCCCCACGTCCTCTTACCTTAGCTGTAATAAGTTAGTTTTATCGCATTTCTTACTACAGTGAGCGTAAGAATGAATTGGTATCCTTTCAGTCCAGAGAGTACAGAGGTATTCTAAATTTGTCTTCAACTTTGACTACGATTAACATATGCGGGTTTTATGTCCTTACAATATAACAAATACTAATTGATTACAAATATTAACATAAATGGATAGACTGTTAACATCACTCTGTTACTTATAGATGTTAATGGCAGTGACAACGTGAACGGGTGTTGGGGAAGTCGGTGTAATTTTTTGTCATTTTCGGCGACATTTTTCTTCTTACTCGCTACTGTCATAATAGCCACACCACACTCATCCACACCCACCACATCCACCACACTCATCCACACCCACCACTCATCCACATCCACCACACTCATCCACACTCATCCACACCCACCACACTCATCCACACCCACCACACTCATCCACACTCATCCACACCCACCACACTCATCAAGACCTACCACACTTATCCACACTTACTACCACACCCAACCACATCTACCACACTCAACCACGCCCGCCACACTCACCAAACTATACACATACATGTTACGAGTCAATACGTATCACACACACACACACACACACACACAGTTACAAAGCTGCCGTACCCTGGTGTGTTGGTTGAGAAGGAGAGATACTAGTTAGAGTCAATGTGGAGGGGAGGAGGGGGATGAGGGGGAAAGGAAGAGTAAAGAGAAAGAGAAGGAAAGGAGGAGGGGAGGGGGGGGTGGATAATAGACGTTCAGAATAGCTGTGCATAACGACACTACATAAACACACTTCGCTGGCATAAAACGCAAGACCGGAAAGAAAACTATAAAACCCGGGAATGGTGAGGAGGCCGGTCGACTGCTGAGTGTATGTCGGTCAGATAAAGATTGATAGAGTGAGGGGAAGGGGGGGGGAGGTAAAACGGTGATGGGAATGACAACTACGTCTTAAGGGCGAGCCACTGGTAACGAGGAGTCAAGTTTCCCTCAGTGTCTTGTGTAGGCTGAGTCTTGTTTAGTATTGTGGGTGATAAAGATTCGCACTGTCAGTATATTGTAGTTAAGATGGTTGTGATGGGTGGAGGAGAATTAAACGCCACAACCATTACCATTGTAGGTAGTGATGATGAAAGTATCGTAAACGGGGTGTAAAGGTGTGTGTGTGTGTGTGTGTGTGTGTGTGTGTGTGTGTGTGTGTGTGTGTGTGTGTGTAGGATGGGGAATTGTATAAAGGGGTGAATGTAGTGGAGGGGTGTGGGGGGTGGCGCCTGGGGAGGGGTGTGTGAGGTGAAGCCTGGGGAGGGGTAGCGCCTGAGGAGGGGTGTGGGGGTAGCGCCTGGGGAGGGGTGTGGGGGGAGGTTGCTTGAGGGACAGGTGTATTAACCTGACGGCCGGGTTGTCTTCCGCTCCTCAGGTAACTCAGGTCGTGATAGTTATCAGGTGTACACGCGTGCTTGAGCACACGCACACACGCGCACGCATTTTTTCCATATTTATTTACACGCTAAACCCCTCATAAATTATTGCAGTTAAACCCTTCCAATTAAATAAAAATAATAATTGCTTCCTCTCATATTCAGGTGAATAATTGGCCCTCCCCTTCCACATGAGCACCTTCATTTAGCGCCGTATAATCACCCCTACATGACAAAGTGTCCTGGACGTGATTCATTATCGGGTGATCACGATGTTATCTCACGACTGGGTAATGGGATCATCCCGTCGCTCACCCCAAGACTACGTCCACCTGGGAGTCACAAGACCACTCTTAATAAGGTGTTCAGGAGCCATGGAGACGAACCTGCCATAGTCACTAATGTTGTTACAGATAATTTAACTCTAATAAGACGATAACGGGCGATGTTATTAGTCTGGCAGTTATATATATATATATATATATATATATATATATATATATATATATATATATATATATATATATATATATATATATATATATATATATATATATATATATATATATATATATATATATATATATAATGATACAGGTTCTGGTGGATATTAATGCGTGGAGAACAATCATTACTCGCCATTGTTGGTAACTGGAGCGGAAAATCCTTCCATCAAGGAACGTAAACAGCAGTTGAAATGGGGGGGAGTTGGGGAGCAGGGGAGGAGGGAAAGTAAAGAATGGGAGGGGGGGCAGGGAGTGGGAGAGTAAAGAATGGGAGGTGACAGGGAGCGGAGAGGTCAGGAAGAGAGAGGGAGCGGAGAGGTCAGGAAGAGAGAGGGAGCAGGGAGTGAGAGGTGGAAGGGAGAGAAATGGTCAGGGAGTGGGGGGGAATATAGAATGGGAGATGACAGGGAGTGGGAGGGAACAGAGAGCGGAGAGGTCAGGGAGTGAGAGGGTGGCAGGATGCGAAGTGAGAGGGGGCAGGGAGTACTAGAGCAGGATGTGAGAGGGGGGCGAGAGGGGACAGATAGTGAGAGAGAGAACAGGTAGTGGGGGAAGTGCCGGTTCACAACTGGAGTTTCATTATACCAGATGAACGTCCAACTCAGCGTAAAATTTTCAACACGTCTTCATTACTCATTCACTTTATTAGATGCCCTTAAAGCGAACACCAACTTTTATTTTAGTATTAATATTATTCTTTTCGCTTTGAAGGATATGATAGCTTTTGATGTTGACAAAGGAAAATCTTGTTTTTAGCTTACGTTAGTTTGGATGAAGTTATATGAACTGCTGCACTGGAAGAGTAAGTTTGAACAGCGACGGATGACAAGACACATAGATAGATAGATAGATAGATAGATAGATAGATAGATAGATAGATAGATAGATAGACTAACGTCGTGAGATGTGTAACACTAGAAACTATTAACAGTCACCTTCAGAGTATTAAATTAAGTGAATGATATGCTTTTACTGATGGTTCTGTGCAGACAAACACAGGCAGATCAAGTTGTGCAGATGTAATATATAAATAATATGAGATGATAGTGTCAAACAAGCAAAGACTGAACAACTGGGTCAGCACAACACAAACTGAACTAACTGGAATCAACTTAGCCACAGACTACCTTACAGAAAATGGAGGTGGGGTGATATTCTGTGACTCCCAAAGTGCGTTGAAATCAATGAACATACCATCAGCCTTAAAGTCTGAAGTTGTGTGGTTTCCGTCCCATGTTGGAATTAGGACTCATGACTGTGCTGATAGACTGGCCAATGAGGCGTGTAATGAAAGAAAATGTGGACTGGAACCTTGGCCTGTCCAATGCTGTACATAAAAACATACAAGTCAAAATCATGAACTCTGATCTAGAAGAACTGAGAAATGCAGAGACCTGGCAGTCATAGCATTTATAAACATGACAAATTTTGTGATGAGAGGTACCGGTATGGCCAGCATAGTGACAGAACCAGACAATGTGATGTAGTCGTAGCCAGATAAACTTTTACAGCTTACACTTGATCATTATATTATTGAATGTGACAGAAAGACTTCAGACCACCTGGCTTATTGTATCATGAACTATGTAACTACTACATCTCCTAGGCCATACTGATTAGTCCTCAATTA